TCTCACTCTGTTGCCCGGGCTAGAGTGAGTGCCGTGGCGTCAGCCTAGCTCACAGCAACCTCAAACTCCTGGGCTCAACTGATCCTCCCGCCTCAGCCTCCCAAGTAGCTGGGACTACAGGCATGTGCCACCATGCCCGGCTAATTTTTTGTTTCTATTTTTTAGTTGACTGGCTAAATTTTTTTTTTTTCTATTTTTAGTAGAGACAGGGTCTCGCTCTTGCTCAGGCTGTTCTTGAACTCCTGACCTCAAGCGATTCTCCCGCCTCGGCCTCCCAGAGTGCTAGGATTACAGGCGTGAGCCACCGCGCCCAGCCCCTTCTTGTATGTCTAAAGCTCATCCCAGCAGGTGTGAGCTCCATGGCAGCATGGGCCTTGCTTCCCCGGTATCCCCCGTACCTGACCCCGGGGAGAAGCTGAATAAACATCTGCCCAGCAACAGGATGGAAGCACATGTGGCAGGGAGTGCCTGGGATCTGGGGCATGGAAGATTACAGTTCACATCCTTTGTATTCCAATCAAGAGCTGCAAGACCTTGAACACATTAACGATATGTCCCTTAGGAAAATGTGGTAAGGAAGGATGGAAACAGTGGCTCTTACCTGGGGCTGATTTTGCCTGCCAGGGAACTTTTGGCAATGTCTGGAGACATTTTTGGTTGTCACGCTACAAAGGTAAGACTGGTATCTGTTGGGTAGGGGCCAGGGTCCTACACACACAGGATGGTCCATGCAACCAAGGAGTGATGTCAACAGTCAACAAATGTCAATAGTGCCAAGGTTGAGAAATCCTAGACTAGAGGAACACCACGTAAAACCATAAAATCATATGTAAATCTTGGTCGTTATTAATAGTATTATAAAGTGAAAGAAATGCAGTATTAGATTTTTAAAATGTAATATTTTCAAGGGCTCCAAAGGTAGCTTTAATGTGATTTTAAATGTTTTTGTTTTTGTAAGAGATGACAAGGTTAGAAAATGCAGCTCCTTAAACTGCTTCCTCACCAGGAGCTTCTAATTCTTCAACACCTTGTCAAATGTTATTGAAAAAACCTCTTGTAAAAATCATTCCTGCTCAGATCTTTGGCCACAAATAGGAGGACGAGCCCAACAATGTGTTTCTCAAACTAATGGAAGCCTCAGCTGCCATGGCCTTCAAAGCCCCAAGTAACCCCGGAAGCAGACGCTCCACCTGGCTCTGTGGCCTTTTGCCAGCTGAGACCATTGGCCAGTAATAAACTGCTTTTCCAGAAAATTGGGCAGTGCTAATTTTAATTTTGTTCTCTGTTTAGAAATGATCATCCAAAGAGGTTGGAGCCCGGGCACCCCCTCCTGTGCCCAAAGCAGCCCCGGCACGTCTCCCTCCCAGCACACACTGCACCGTTGGGTCATCGTCCTCCTCCAGGCTGCGGCGTCCTGAGGACATGGGCCCAGTCCGGGATTACAACTTATCAATCAAACAATGGGATGCAATGTCCTGCCCACATCCTCTCGGCATCTCCGCTCTCACTCGCCACTTCATGTGGATGACGGCTTCATCGGTGAGACTGCAGGGCCCCTCTCTCTGCCCAAGAGCCTTTCTAGGTAAGGAAGCATGCTTGACCCATGCAGGTGGCAGTCAGCTGTGCAGAGGAGTTAAGGCCCCCAAGAGCATCCTTCAGCCAGTTGCAGATGATCCCCCGGGTAGGGGAGACAGGGCAGGGAGGGTTTGCGGATGGGCATCCCTGTGACTCGGAACCAATCCAAGGAGCAGTCTGAGCGCACCAGTCTCCCGCAGATGTTCTCAAACTATCGAGCATCCGAATGGCTTGAAGAATGTGTTGCAATGCAGATCCCCAGGCCTCCCCTCTCAGCTTCTGGCTCAGAACGCCTGATTAGTGAGCAGTATTAGCTTCCTAGGGTGGCCATAGCAAAGTACCACCAACTGGGTAGCTTAAAACAACACAAATGTATTTTCTCATAGTTCTAGAGGGTAGAGTCTGAAATCTAGGTGAGGCAGGGTTGGTTCCTTCTGAGAGCTCTGTGGGAGAATTCGTTCCAGTCCTCCCTCCCAGCTCCTTGGTGGCCAGCAGTCCTCGGTGTTCCTTGGCTTGTGGCCACATTGCTCCAGTCTCTGCCTCTGGCTGCACATGGCCTTCGTCCTGTGCCCATGACTCTTCTCCTCTTGTTAGGACACAGTCACGTTGGATTTAGGGCCCGCCCTGCTCTAGTAGGACCTCTTCTTAACTCATCACATCTGCAACAACCCCATTTCCAAGTAAGGTCACATTATGAGTACTGGGGTTAGGACTTCAGCATAACTTTTGGGGGACACAGTGCAACCCACAGCAGGTGTGGCAACTCTAAATGCTCCCAGGCCCCCAGGTGATTTTGACATGTGGCCCTGGGACCATGGCACTCCCATGGGACTCATCTTTGCAGCCCATGCTGTGCAGAAGAGGCCTACGCTCCCTGCACACAGGCAGGAGTAGTCCTGCAGGCCTACGGCAGGTCTGCGCACACTGAGAGGAGGCAGAACGGCTGGGAGCGGGGGTGGTCTGGGTGGAGCAGGACAAGCCGGCCGCCAGTCCCCCGCTCTCCGCACTGCCGATGTGGGGAGGGAGGTACTCGATTCAATCTTCTAGCTCAAGTGTCAACACAGCAGGTGCCTCGAAGGAGGAAGCGGAGGATAAGCAGGGCCCACTTTTCTTAGTTCAAAGGAAAAATGCTTGGTCCGGGGCAGATTATGCATTGCGAATCGTCTTCTCCTGGGCATTTTTACTGCTTAGAGACAGCAGCAGGGAGGGCTGCAGGTGGACGGAATATGGCTCTCTCCCCAAGCAGGGGTGGGGTTGATGTGATGCTCAGGCATCTCGGGGGACATGCCAGGTCCTCCCACCTGGACACCTTTAGATGGTGGGTGAGCCTGCACACCTGCTCTCACAGGCAGCCTGTCAGCCTTCAGGGCCACCGAGGGGCACCCGGGTGAGCAGAGGGCGGGGATATAGGAGCAGCTTTATCCACAGCTCAGGTCCGAGAGGACGGCTCTCCCGTGGCCACGTTCTTTCATGCCTGGGACTTCAGCATATGCTGTTCCCTGACTCCCTGCCTGGAACACAAGACTTCCGCCCTCTTTCCCCATTTTGCCAACTCCTATAAATGACGCCAGCCTCATTTATAATCCGTGACCAGAAACCTCAAAGGCGTCCGTCCATAGCCTAACTGGGCGATCCTACCACATTTCCCTAATCAATTCACATTTCCACGTGAGAAAGAAAACATCTAATTGGTTGAAGCTACTGTATAGTTGGGTTTCTGCTAAAAGCAGCCAGACACAACCCCTAAATGACACAGGAAGTATGTCTCATTATCATTTCCTTTTGAAAAGAAACAATTTGGATTCTTCAGACTCCAAACGGAAGCATCTTCTGGCACACAGCAGACATGAACACGACTGCTGTCTGCTCGGGTTCTGCGTGGCTCGGCCTTTCCCAGGCTCACACCTGCCCGCGGCTGCTCCCGGAGGACTCCCCGGCCTGTACACAGGCAGATGACGCTGCCAGAGCCTGCGATCACTGCTGGGCTCGGAGCTGAAGTTCCTGGGTCTGGGTTTCTAAGGCTGGAGGAGAGGCCATGAGCCTCAGAGCGGGGGGCACTGCAGGGAAACTGGAATGAGCCCGAGTCTCATGGGCTGTGGTTGCAGAGGCCGGAGCAGGGAGACCAAGGACACACAATGCCCAGTGGCTGAGGCTGGCTGCCCAGGCCTGGCGTGAATCCGGGCTGGCCTGGGCACCTGCCGGCCCTCAGCTGTAGCCACCCATGATGGATGACAAGCTGCTGCCTCCTCTGCCTTCCCAGCACCCACTGGGAATGGGGCCCTGCCTTGCCCATGCCCGGCCCATTGCTAGAACCCAAACGCCCCTCCCTGCCCCGTCCTTTACCTCCTTGAAGGCTCAGGTATATCGAGCTTCTTCACCAGCTGCAGGGCCCTAGTCTGCCACACTGTGTCCCTTCTCTGTGCATTGTTCCCACTCCGGGAGCAATATGCCTTTCTCCTACAAGTCCCCCAGGATTCGGCCAGGCATGGAAGCTTCCCTGAGCACCTGGGCTGAACCAGGTGCCTGCTATGAAAGCCACCTCCCAGAGCTGCCGCTGACCGTAGCACACATCCCCTGTGCTGTTGTCATCTGCTGACAGCCAAACGCAGTCGAGCTTTGGTGGCTGCATAAGGGCCAGCCTCGTATTTACCCACCTGACCCTCCTGGCAGGTGAGAAGCGTCTCTGGTTTGTCTCTGCCAGCCCGAGGCCTGGTTCATTGTGGTCCAATGGGGCTGATCTGCTGCCTCTGCTCAAGCCCCTTGCTCTGACAAATTAGCCAAGGCCAGATGAGCCCCTAGATATTCAGGTCAGTGGGGACCAAGCTGTGTCATCAGCTTCTCTGGCTGACCAGCCCCTGTGAGGGCTGTCCCGCAGCCAGGGCACACCCCAGCTGAGCACCCCCAGATTCTGCCCACCCCACCCTACCTGAGTCGGTAACCACAGCAGTCATCGTCTCACTTGCTGAGTGAGCATGCCTACCACGCCAGGGCCTGTGCCAACGCCCCACTTAATTCTTACCACCCCGCCCCTCCCTCTGTCACTCTGCCTGATGCTGAGAAGGCTCCATGGGGTTCAGTACCTTGCCTCGGGTCACTCCAGCAGCGGCAGAGCCAGGGCCCGGCCCCCAGGCAGTGTCGTTCCAGGGCTCCTGCTCTTAAGCCCTGGGAGCTGCCTCTACACATGGGAGTCCCTGTCCCCAGGAGCACCCTGAGGCCCAGGGAGGTGGAGTCAGCTCTGTGCAGCAGAGGCAGGATCAGGACACAGCTCTAAGTCCAAGTCCAGGAGCTCCATGCCCTGCAGGACTCTATGTCCCCGCCCACCAACGCCTGCCCCTCCATCATCAGGGCTGGCTTCCTCAGAGGGTCGGGGACCCTGAGTTGTTTTGGACGGGCTCTGCCCAGGGGGTGCTACCTGGAGGACTTACTTCTCTCTGTTGAATACGATGAATTCCTTCCGTACCGTCTCCAAACACTGCTGCAGGTGTCCATCCTGTCAAAGAGCACAGAGAAGTGACTCAGTGACGGAGCACGGTCCAGAAAGACAGGGCAGCAGAGCAATGGAGGGTGGCAGATTGATCTAGACGGGACCTCGGACATCTGGGACAAGCTAAGTGTCTGGCCCTGATTGCCGGGGCTGCTGCGTCCAAGGGGAGCCTGGCAGACAAAGACGATTTTCTCAAGTTTAAACCATTAAATCCAACTTAAAAGTCAGGTTAGAATGGAGTGTGGATTGGAAATCATCAGGTTGGTTTCCTGACCATTCCTTAGGCTCACTCAAGAGGCATGAGGAGAAAGTCATGATCATCATGCCAGTCGCTTGACTTTTAATATATTTTTATAGAGAAATGGGTTGTCATGCTGTGTGTCCCCCCAAAAAACATGGTGAGCCCTAACCCATAGTATGTGCAAATGTGACCTTATTTGGAAATAGAATATTTGCAGATGAAATCAAGGTAAGATGAGGCCATAGTGAATTAGGGCAGGCCCTAAATCCAATGACTGGTGTCCTTACGTGAAGGCCAGGAGAAGGCACAGAGACACAGAGAGAAGAAGGCCACGTGGCACTGGAGAGAGAGACTGGAGTGAGATATTAATAGCTGCAAGCCAAGGGACGCCAAGGATGCTGGCCATCCCAGAAGCCAGGACAGCCAAGGAGGGCCCCTCCCCTATGGCCTTCCTGGAGCGCATGGCTCTGTTGATACCTTGATTTCAGACTTCCGGCCTCCAGAATTGTGAAAGAACAAATTTTGGTTTTTCTGAGACGCCCAGTTTGTGGTGTTTTATTATGGCAGCCCCAGGAAACCAATACAGAGGTCCCTGAAGGCAACATGCCCTGGTCCCACCAAGGTGACAACCCAGTAGAAATGTCTTTCTAAAGGGGGCTTCAGGAATACCCTGTACAGCGGGCGTTGTTCAGTGTCATTTCTCCTCTGGCTCAGGGCTGCATGAGCTTCCTGCCTTAGAAACAGTGCTAACAGGGAGCAGAAGGGTGTGAATGCCTCGACCTAAAGCAGTTCTTCCACAGTTTTGTACTGAAAAAGGCTGCTTGTTTGATGGTGGCATTTTATTTACTGCCAAAGAAGGTGATTGGAAGGGAGAAGCGAAACAGGCCCTCTGCCTGCAAAGCAGCTTTGCTCAGTCGCTCTTCTGGGCAGGTGGACTCCGCCCCTCCTGGGACCGCTCCTGAGAAGTGCTCACCAGAGGACCGCTGTCCTTCGTGCCATCCTTGGACCTGTTCTTTGCCAACCTCTTCTTCTTTTTGTGAAGTGGCTTGGATTCTAGAATCATTTCTTCAAGTTCAAATGTGGGATCACAATTCAATCTCCCTTTCTAAAGGGAAGCAGGAAAGAAAACATGGTCTGTCTGTGTTCCACCTAGCAGTGAGTTTTCTTTCCACGCGTTCATTCATTCAATCAAGCATGCACTGGACAAATGATTACTACTGTGGGATCCATCAGTTACATCTCTCCTTTCTTTCTGATGAAAAGCAACACATTCTCACTGTGTGCACCATTTATACACATGACCCTGGGGTGACCCCACCTTGTTAACCTAAGTCTCCTTCCTATGCATGCTTTTTACATGAAGTTGAGCTCAGTTTTCCAATCTGGTTTTTTTCACTTATTATTTTATTACATACATATTCTTATGCCATTACTATCTTTTTTTATAAATCATTCTAAATGACTTAAGAAAACCATTTCTGGTCAAAATCTGTCTGACAACCTGCCTTGGTGCTCTGTTCCAGGAGGAGAGGAGGAATTTTGTTCTCCTTGACTTCCCGGCCTTGGTCCCCAGGTCCCTGGTAGGCACTTTCAGTCCTGAGCCCTAGACCTGGTGACCACGAGGACACCAGTCCCTGCAGTGGTTATGACCTCAACAGCTCTGGAGTTGTTCTAGTTCTGCTACTTGCTGACCTTGGACAAGTTTCATGACTTCCTTGGGACTCAGTTCATGATCTGTAAGGTTTGCATAACAATACTTCCCTTATAGGTAATTAATAATATAATATCTACAAAGTACTTCAAGCAGGGCTGGGTGTGAAGCAAGTCCTCTCTACACAGGTTGTCACTGTGCCTGCTAGACCTGGGCCTGCTGTGCCTGGGCCAAGAAAGGGAAAGGCTGGGCGTGGGCTCAGGGCCAGCCAGCCTCACCCTGTACTTGTGTGACTCCGAGAGACATGTCCGTGCAGCTGACAGGCTCAGTTTCCTCATCAGTGCACAGTGCAGCAGCTCAGAGGTTGCCAAGGGAGGGATTAGCTGAGAAAGTGTTTGGAAGCATCTAGAACAGCAGCTGCCTGGCCTATGGCGGGGGTCCCATGAGGGGTCCAGCTGCTTGCGGACGAACTTGCCTTGGCCAGGCTGCCTGACCTGCTTGGCATCAGCAGGTACCCTCGTCACGGCTGGGGCAGGAGGGAACGGGCTTTGCAGACAGAAGAGGGGCAGTGCTGGCTTTCCCACCTGCCAGCAAGTCACGAAACCGCCATAGGCCTCTATTTCTACAGCTGTAAGAGGAGGGTAATGAGGCTGATGTGAGGAAGTGCTGGAAAAGCCCTCAGCCCAGCCCAGCTACACAGGAGGTGCCCAATAATGTCCTGTTGTCCTCGTGTCATTCGTGGTTGATGGAGTGGCATCCCATGTCCTTTGCACCTTGTTTTCTCAGTCCTAGAGGCAGGGCCCTCACCTTTCTGTTGGGACCTGCTGGGATCCCTCCCTGGGCCCCCTGGTGCCAATGGCCTCTGCCCTCCCCAGCCTGGTGCTGGGCTCCTGGAGACATTTTTGGTTGTCGCAACCCAGGTAGTGCCACTGGCAGCTCATGGACGGAGTGTCAGATGCTGCGAAACATCCCACAGGGCACAGGTCAGCCCCCAAAGAGTCACTCCTCCCTGAGGGCCGAGCCACAGTGAGGCTCCCTGCACTTGGCTGTAAGCGCCCGACAACTGGCACCACGACTGTTTTCTTCACCAGGGGTTCCCTCACGCCCAGCACAGTGCTGGCAGAGGTAGGTGCTCAGCGAACACAGAATGGGTGACACTGGTGACAGTGAAGCCTGTGCTTTTACATGTAACTGACTTTCACTGGCCAGTGAGATCTGGTGGAAAAGGGGCCGAGAGGACTGAGACTCCAGGGCTGAAGCTGTCCTGCCCTCCAGGTGTGAGCCATCGCCCCAGTGGCTGCCTCTGCTGTCCCCAAGGCACACCTGTCCACCCACACACGTGGACACACTCTCACAGACACACATTGGCATACAGATGCTCACACGGACACGCAGACACACACAGATAGAGAGACACACAGATGCACAGGGGCACATACACATACACAGACACACGGCACAAACACACAGCGCATGCACAGGCACACATAGAGACACACACAGAGCTCACAGTTGGCCAAGTGAAACCCACAGCTCTCACAGCGGGAGGCAGGGAGGGCACCACCTGAGCAGCCCTCTGCGCTGAGCCTGCCGGGCACTTGTCCCCACGGCCTGTTTCTCATGATAGCAGGCAGGGTGATGAGGAGTAGGGGCCGTCTGAGCCCAGAGGCAGCACCACGCCTACCCAGGGGGGCAAGGAAGGCTTCCCATAGGGCAGAGTCATAAGCACAAGCCGCTCTGAGCAGGTGGAGGGGGGCCAGGTAGTGGGGACAGCACACGCCAAGGTCTGGAAGACGGGCGCAGCCTGTCTGGGGCCGGCCTGGGAGGGAGGTGGGAGGAAGCGTGCTCAGGGTGCAGGCAGGCACAGCCTCCGAGGACTAATGGGCTGGCTACCAGGCAGGGACACGCTGTCTGCACGACACTAGACACGAAAAGCCTGGTGCCAGCCCAGCTTTGGTTTCAGAGTGCTCAGCACAGAACCCTGACCAGGCCACGGGGAGGCCCGGATTCAGATATGTGCGCACGCGCGTGCTGCAGCCGCCGTGGGAAAAGGGAACTGGAAGCCTCGGACTCTGGGAAACTGATTTGTGGAAACATTGCTTTTGTGCCAAAAGGAGCGACAAAAGTCTGTAACATAATCTGACATGAAACACCACCCCGGGGTGTCTAGGGCTCCCCAGAAACCAGCCTGGTGGCCCACCAAGTCTCTTCTGCATTCTGGGCCTGAGTCTCTCCCTCCACTCAGACAACAGGGATTGGGATAGGGAGAAGCAAAGACCAGCTTTTGTGGCCTCTTTTAGGCTCACAGCACCACTGGGCAGGGCAACTGTCACATAATCCACTGTCACAGATGGGCTAGAGGGTGGGCTCTCCAAGGTCACAAAGGTGGCCGGGCTGGAACAACACCCATTTGTCACTATTCCCCAGGTGCTCTCTGCAAGCCCTCCAGGAGAAATGCAGCTCTCGGCAGGAAGGGGGCACTTTGGCTTCCGTGCAGGTCCAAACTCCCAGCATTTCTCTCCCGGAGGTCAGGAGCCTCCTGTCTGCTCCCTGCTCTGCCCTTTGTAGCTCCTTCTCCACCTCCAGCCAGAGTCCCCCCCGCCCCACCAAAATGTGAATCCAACACTTGCACTTTGCTGCCTTGAACACCCTAGTTTTCAGGGGATAAAACCTGAAACCTTTACTATGGCTGCCAGAAGGCTTCCCGGTGTGACGTGCATCCTCTAACCTCATTCCTATTATTTCCTCTGGTTTATTCCATTCTAGCTGTAAAGCCTCCACGCTGTCTGGGAAGCCCAGCCCTGCCTCGAGGTGTGTGGTCTTGATCCCTTGGCCTGAGAGGTTCGGTGTCCATCCCTGCCTGCCCTGCCCTTCATTTCATGCTGATCTCTGCCAACTCTCCCAAAAAGAGGCCCTGCCCCCTCACCTCCCACTCTGTCTCCCCCTCTTCCGAGCTTGTTCTACAAACGCTGACTGCACTGGCTAGGGGACTTATTGCCCGTCTTCCTCTACGTGGCAGGCAGCTGACTCCAGTGCCCTGGCCTGTGTGCATGGGAGGCATGACTCAGTGGAAGAGGAGGTTCCAGACCCCCAAAGCACCCACCACAGGAAGAGAAGCTGCACAGCTGGAGTCTTGGCAATCAGGCCCGAGGCCATTCCGAATCCCAGCAAAATGTTAGCCCTTGGGTGCTCAAGTGGCCATGGCCAGCAGAGGGCTTGCTGGTCAGCTGCTGGGGCCATGCTTTGCGCCCAGGTGGGGACCCTGCAGAGGAGTGGCAGGACACCCGCCAGGACCTCCACTCACATTGGGCACAAAGCAGGGCATCAGCGTCTTCTCAAACACCGCGTCCCAGTTCATGTCGGCCAAGTAGGGCACACTCTGAATGTCATGGAGGCTGGACAGGCGGCTCTCGGGGTCCTTGGTCAGGAGCTGCAGTCAGAGGACAAGTGCGATTCCTTTAACTGGGCACCCCCCAAGGTCATCAGATACTCTGAAGGAGGGGGTCTCAGGACATTTAAGGAACCTCTGCTCTTCATGCACCATTAATGTCATGCCCTGTCTGGGTCGCTGTTGCCGGAAGCACCATCTGCACTCATCTCTTTGCAGCCAGGGAGTGACGGAGGGGTCAGACTCTTCTGCAAGGTCATCCGCAAAAGGACTGTGGAGCAGGGACTAGCGTTTCAGGCCCCGCATTCCCTTCTGGGACTAGAGCCCTGTACCAGGCTGCCTCTCACTGATGTCTGCAAAGGCTTCCAATTAAAAACGAAAAGAACTGGCCACAACATCTTAGGACTTCCAACTTGATAATGGGAGGTACCAAATTCTAATAAAATCTACCCCTGGACAGCTATGACGTGACCTCTGTGACCTAATGAAGTGGACTCATTTGTAGCCAAGGGGACAATTTTTAGCTTCTCCTCAAATTGAGCTTCTGCTAAAAAGGAGAGATGCAGTATAAAAACAGCCAAAGAATATTACCTGGCATCCAAATGGGGCCTCCAACATTTCAAAACACTGTAGTTTATCAGGTGCAAGGAGTACGAGGCTGAAAATGAAAGGACGGAGGCCCTAGCCCTGGGACTGCCACTGAAAAGTCGTGTGACCTCGGGTAGCACTGGGTGCTCTGCACTTGTTGCCTCCTGTGAAAGCAGGAAGAATGGCAGCTCTGCCACTTCCAGCTCGTGGTTAGCACGGGCCCAGTGGGGCTGGTGGGGCCTGGCACGTGCTGGGGAAGGGCACATGCCAGCTGCCCACAGGTGGAGCTGGAAGTCAGAGCGCACAGCTAGTTCACTCCCAGCTGTCACTGCAGAAATCTCCCAGCTACACCCAGTCAGCGGGCTGGAGTCACACCACACCAGTGAGGATTGTACCTGCTGGCTATGGAGGCCACTCTGTAGGGGCTGCCCCAAGACAGTGGGCGCCAGTTTGAACAGACTCCAATTCAATGCCTTATGGGGGCTCACTGCGTAGGACAGCTGTTCTGAGAGCACGCTGATGCCCGGGCCCAGGGCCAGACTCTGAGTCACGGGGTGGGCTGGGAGGTGCAGATGTCAGCAGTATGTTAGGCTTCCAGATGATTCTAACAAGCAGTCAGGGTTAAGAACCACTGGGATCTGGGGTGGCTCCTGGAAAGGTGCATTTCTAACAGGTTCCCAAGTGGGGCTCAGGCTGCTGGTCCTAGGCCCACACTCTGAGAGCCACTGCTTTATTCTAATCGCAACAGTTCCTGCGAAAAGTCAGGAGATGCCCGGCATCTCAAATCCCAGTGGGTTAAAAGACCATTTGTAGCAAAGATTGTTAAAATCCACATGCATTAAGTGTTTCTATTTATTGGGATCCTGCAGTCGTGTGACAGGAGCCCGGAGGCTTGCAGTCACGGGCTCAGTGGTCTGAGGCTTCCTGCCTGATCTGCGTGCACTCCCGAGACAATGCTCATTCCACGGCAGCAGAGCTCAGCTCACCACTGCTTCCATCCCTGCTACGCCACTTGTTTTCTACCCCTTCCTCTGCTGGTATGCCTGTGTCTACACCAGGTGACTGCAGCCCTTGGCGGCAGGCCGGTGGCTCCCACCCCTACCTTTTTCAGCAGGGCCACCATCCCCCTGCACCACGTGGATGAGTAGTGGACGCGCTCCACCTTGAACATGTTGAGGATCTCATCTATAGGCGTGGCCGAGTGGATTTCATATGGCCTCTGCAACCAAAGGACAACAGCCAGAGTCAGAGAGGGGGGCCACCAGGAAGCCACCAGCTGTAGGATTTGAGATTGTGTAGTTGCAAGGGACAGTTTATTCTTCCCCTTCAGGTAAGAGTGGGTGTTCCTCTTTCATGGCAATGCAGGTGACTCAAACCCATGTGCCCACAGTAACCGGGCCTGTGGGGCAGTGCAGGACCTGGCAGGTGGGTTCTGCTGCTACGAACACAGGAGGGTAAGTGACTCACCAAGGTCATATAGCCCATAAAAGGGAGAGGCAGGATTCACTGCCAGCAGCCTAACCCCAGAGTCCCTGCTCTGGTCACAGGATGGAGAGTTGACTCTTGCCATCTAACAGGCACCCCAGGACACCTCCAGTCACAGACCCCACCTGCTGGGACACTGAGGGGCCTCAGCCCCACTTTGTCTTGGCTGAACCGGCTTCTAGAGTGGGCAGGGCCGAGATGGCTGGCATCTGGGTGTGACTGGGCTGAGTGAGGGGTCGCTGGGCTTCTTCCCCTGCTATCCTCACCTGCCATCCCCTCCCCCACAGTGAGGATACGGAAGATCTATTCTCCCCCAGTTTCCAACCTTGGTAGAGTATGAAGCCTCCTGTGTTTTTTCAACATTGCCACTGGTGGTTTCTTGCTTCTAAGCACTTCTCAAAGCCTTTCTTGACTGTGACCCTGGAGAGGGGCTCAGAGAGTGTCTGAGCATCAGCTCTCCCCTCCCTTCCTCACCCCCCACCTCCCACTGCAGGCACGATTCTCTCAGAGCCCCTTCATCCTCCACCTGGCCACCTGGCTTTGTGGTCCAAGATGCTTTCAGCCTTGCATCATGGCCAAACGTCTTGGGACTAGAAAAGCGGTCACTTCCCTAGCACATGTGGTGCAACAACTGTACTGGCCCTGGAGAGATCTGAGGAATGAATTCATGATAAATCCATGTGACCTTGATTGTCTAGCACGGAATTCCCTTGTTGATACTAAGCAGTAAAATTATTGCTGTTTGTCTCCTCCATGAAGCTGGGGACGCCTTGAAGGGGGGATTTTATCACACTCATCTATGTGTCCCTAGGCCCTGAGCAGTGTCTGCCATTGAGCAGGGTCCCAGAGCACGGTGACAATGGATGTATCAGTCCATCCACAAGTGCGGACTGGACAGTCACCGAGACACCGTGCTGGGACCCCTGCGGCATGTAAGGCACTGGCGCCAACCTCACGGAACTTCACTTCCCACAGGGCTGCTGCAGCTAGAAGGTGCCAATCCAAAGGGGCAGAAGGTCCTGAGCTCTGAGTGGGCTTCAGCTCCCCAGGATGAAGAAGCACCTTTGACATCACCAAACCAGGTCTCCCTGGAGAAGACCTCCGCCTGCACCGTGTGCCTGTGCTGCCTTCTGATGTGCCCACCCAGAAAGGGGCCTCTCTCTGACTGGCTGCCTCCTCCCCGGACTGTTAGTTGAGTGGGAAACTGTTCATTTCACCCTATGATACAGGGAAAAAAACCAAAACCTGTGGGCTCTCTCGCAAGGCTAACTAACTTGATTCACTAACATTCTTTCAATATTTCTTCAAATACTGTTTTCCTCTGGTGGGAAGAGAGGTGCGCTTCCGGGACGGAGCATTCAAACATTTCCACCTAAAGGTGCCGCCTGCTTTCGCATTCGCAGGATCCCTTTGCACTCACCAGTAGGAACGACCATCACAGGAGTGATAAGACCAACCACAACAGAGTGCTCCTTATGTGACACAAAACGCACAGAATCTATATGAGCTGCTGACTATTACACAGGAGACAAAACAGAGGTGCCGCACACTGGAGCTGGACACTGAGGTTGAAGGCCAGTGTGACTCACCAAGGAGCACCTCTGGCCACTCTTGTTACAGGCGGAACTGTGTCCCCCGTAATTCATACGTTGAAGTCCTAACCCCCCGGGACCTTACTTGGAGATAGGGTGTTCACAGACACAATCAAACCGGCATGAGGTCATTAAAGGAGGGCTAATCCAACATGACTGGTGTCCTTACAGAAAGGGGAAACTCTGTACAAAGGAGAAATCAAGGCACGGAGACATGCACACGCAGCAGAAAGACAATGTGAAGAAACAGGAGAAGACAGCCACCCGCAGCCAAGGAGAAAGGCCTGGGCGCAGATCCCTCCAGCACAGGCTCAGCAGGAACGGGCTCTGCCAGCTCCTTGATCTCAGACTTTCAGCTTCCAGAACTGGGGAGGACACATTTCTCTTGCTTGGCCGCCAGTGTGTGGAACCACATGCAGCGAGCAGCCACCCTCACCGTCCCGCGCAGAGCCTGACTGGTGGCGTCCGACTCCTGCTTCTGTCTCTGCAGACAGGGCCCCTGGAGTGCGCAGGGCAGACGAGGTCCCTCCTGCACCGAGCTCGCCGTCTCGGAGGGGCCTGCAGTACAGGTCCGGGTGGTACGAGTGCTGGGCAGGAGCTGACGGGAGCACCTGGCACACGTCGGGGAAGGGAGCTCTCTAGAGTCTCCAATGGGGGTGGGTGGCAGGAGAACCAGAGCTCGGGACCACCATCTGCAGATGGGCTGGGCCAAGAGCTCAGTTTCCAGACTATTTAGGATGGCTTCTTCCCACCCTTTGCCTTCTATACAATAAACAATTCCGCCCACCCTAGGCACCCCCGTCCCGTGGAAACCCAGTTGCTGGAGCTGCGGAGACCTTGGGAGACAATGACTCTCACCTCCTCCCTCAGTCTGAAGGTCAGGAACGAAGGCTCGGGGACGGAAAGAGACTTTCCCAGCGTCCAGAGAGACCGGGTTCTCATTCCCTGCTCTTTCTGTCATGTCACCAGAGCCTGAGAACCCAGGCACCCAACTGGAGCACCAGCCTGAAACAAATGTAACGACCTCTCTGAAGTACATTTCATTCTCTATTTCCTTCTTGGTCTCCTCAAGGCACTCGTCAGTTCTGCTTTCCCCTCGGACTCGCAACTGAGCCATGTGCTCTCTCTGATCTCTGCAATTCTCTCCCTTCTAGAGGGAACCAGACCACTCACAGTAAGAACGATGGTCACAGTGGTGACTGACTGCAGCACACCGTGGGCCACTCGGGAAGGACACTCGGAAACAGTCCAACACGATGGCTAGAATGAGCTCACAGCCTCGGGCTCCAGGCTCAGCCCCATCTGTCCGGGCGGTTGCAGAGAAACCCAGGTCCCTTTGCAACATTATTGGCAAGTGCGAAGATCACCATTCTGTCTGCTGGTGGTAAAGGATTCTACTGATGCTTAGCGCATGGCCCTAGGATGTGTTGACGCAGAAAAGCAGGTGGTATTTAGAAGGTGATTACGTGTGCTGCCGGCAAAAGTGACTGTAGCAGCGGGACACTGGGCACACCCGCTGTGCAGTGCAGGTGGCTCTCCATTCCAGGAAACTCAGTTTGCCAAAAAATGCCAATTTTCCAAGAAATAGAGAGAAGACAGAGGAAAAGAATTGCCGCAGACCTGTTATTTTAACTGTTAAAGCTGAGCTGGGCCTTGGAGACTACCTAAGCCAATGTTTTTCCCCAGTTCTTTTTACTTAAAATCCCAAACACAGAAGAGATGAAAGTGAAGAACCATTCCTCAGGCAGTTTAAACCTCCAAGGCTTGAAGAAACATTTTTCCCCCTCTGGACCTGTTGAGTCATTTCTGCAGGGCTCTGAAGTCCAGAAACAGCCTGAAACCACAGAACCTTCGAGAAGGTCCTTCCCCCACCCTTGAATGGAGGCCAAGGACTCTGTTACCTCCCAGGCTCTGACTCCTGGCACAGTGCTCTCTCTGTCTGCTTTACTAAGGGACAAGAAGTCAGCACTCACCCCAAGGACCACCCCTGTCTTTGTTAGGCTGACACACCAGCTGGTTCTCTTTCTCCAGGCAGAGCCCAGCCACCTGCATACCCCCAGGGGTTCTCAGTGCTGCTCTGCAACCTCTGGGTGAGCCCCAGACACCTCTCTCTACTCACTGGCCTCTCTGCACCCTCGAGCTCTCTGTCCACACATCCCCAAAGAGAGCGCTGCCTGGCTCAAAGGCCGGGGCGTGGCTGGTGGGCCGGCAGCGAGGGTCCGGTCCTCAGGGCACCACAGAGTGGGCTTTCAGGGCCCCGCCCCTCGTCCGCATTGAGAGCCCTGTGCAGCGCAGCGTGCCCGCAGCCTCGCACCCGGGTCTCGCTTAGCGCCCTCGCTTACTCTACGGCAGTGGTTCTCAGCCAGGGACACTCTGTCCCCGGGGGTATCTGGCAGTGTTTGGAGACACGTTTGGTTGTCATAACTGGGTGGGGATTTCTGAGGGGCATTACTGGGTTGCGGCCAGCGATGCTGCCGAGCGCCCCGCCATGCAGAGGATCGTCCCACGCCACGAAGAATCACCTGGCCCCGAATGTCCACAGTGCCGAGGTTGAGAAGCCCGGTGCTATGGGCCTCTGTGACTGTTCCCACCAAACAGGCTCACCCTCAGCCCGGCACAGCTTGAGCCCCCAGCGCATGGCCCCTCATGTTCACCATGTAGGCACACGCCTTACCCAGCCCCGCAGTAGCTCGTAGGCCGTGACACCCAGGGACCACCAGTCGACGGGGTAAGAGTACCCGGGGCCTCCGTCCACGTACACCTGGAACACTTCTGGGGCTGCCAATGACAGGACAAAGAAATCATTATGTGTCACAGTTTATGCAACCACCACCCCTTAGAGAGGGACACCAGGATATGAACCCAGCTTTTACGGACGGTGAGACCTGTACTTTTTCCACTCTGCCACGTGAATCCTGCCTCAGTGAGCCGGGGCTGAGAACAAGTTGCAGGCATCACAGGGAGCACTCACAGGGCCCCCAGTCAGAGTACACACGGGGCCCTCTGGGCGTGGTGGGAGGGGTCTACTTGGGGACAATGAGGGAAAGCCCCCGGGGAAGTGGATTTGATGGAGCATGAATCTCAGTCTGCTGGGGGAACTCAGAGCAAAGAGGAGGAACTGAGCCCCCAAGAGGTTGATAACCTTGATAAATGCCACCCTGCTTGTAGCACCAATACCCACGCCAGGCGTCCCAATAACCAGGACGTTCAGATTTCTTTGTGGCTAGTGTCTATCTCAGGGACGGTTTCATTTTAGCGTAGGCAGAATCTAACATGAAATACCCAGAGTAGGTAAATCTGCAGAGGCAGAAAGCAGATTGGAGGTTGCCAGGGGCTGGGGGCCGGGGGCGGGGGGCCGGGGGCTGGGAATAAGCACCCAAGTGCTTATTCATGGCTTTCCTTTGGGGGCGAAGGCAACGTTCCGGAACTAGGTAGAGGTGGGGGTTGCACAACACGGTGCCACTGAATCGTTCCCTTTGAAGCGGCTAATTTTGTGTTATGTGAATTTTACCTTAGTAGAAAACAAGGACGAAGGATGGAGGCCCGAGTGTGGTGGACCTTCATTCTTCAGGGTCCTGTATTTGTCCTGGGGCCCCTGACCCTGCCCGTTCTCTGAGGGACTGAGTGGCGGGTTAATGCCATGGCCTTGCCCCCACATCACTAGGCCAGGACTGCGTCGTAAGGTCCAATTGTTCCCATTGGCTTCCAGGGAAATTTTGTGAAATGTTGGTTATTTTCTAGCAAATTAATTTGCAGACATAATTCCATTTTACAGTTGTCAGAGCAGCCCAGATCTGCCTCGGGAGCCGCAACATGTTGTGATTATAAGCTGTCTCGATTCAATTTCCAGCCTGTCATTCACTCGGCGTGAGAGGGGAGGGCCGATCGGGCAGGGGAGGGGACACTTGACTCGGCCGTTGAATCTGCAGCTTCACACTTGAATCTGGCCAGAGGCCACGTTCCTGCTGTCCTCTAGGGACACTCTCCATCTGGATCAAATTTCACACTGTGCTTGCACCCACAGGCTCTCCTTTCCTCTTCACAGCAGCCTCTGGGGGACACGGTGTCATGAGATACATGTTACAGGTGAGGGATGTCCAGAGAGGGCCGGCAATGTCAAGGAAGTCACACAGCCAGGAAGTGCAACACTGTGACACGCCTTACACATAGGCTGAATTCCTGTTTGAAATAAGGTTTGTATCAATGTTGCTTTTAGTATGAAAACATACTCAGTGCCACGCCGGGGCATGATGCAACTAGGATTTGGGGAATTGTCCCCTAGGATTTTTGGCCCTTACGAAGGAACCGCCTTGGTCTTTTGGGAACTGGGAAGACGGCCAGTGAAGTTGGGGTCACCTGCTGGTAGCAGGCCACTTGCCTGCTCTTTGCCTCAGTTTTGTAAATTGTGGACAACAATCCTGGTTTATTTGCAGGGTTGTCAATAAGGTAATAGACACCCAGAGCTTAGCAGGCTGCCCTGGCCACAGCAAGTGCCCTGACGCCATCCCCCCAGTCGCCCAAACCAGTAACCTGGGGACCATCCTCAACTCCATCCTCCTCAGCCTCGCAAACGATCATCTCTGAACCTTGTGGGTTTTGTATTTTCAGCATCTTTTTGTCTCCCCCTTCCCATCTGTCCTAGATCAACCTGACTCCAACGTGGGTGCTCTTACCTGTGCATTAAGCCTCTGGTGAGCACACGTTTATTGATTTCCTGGTATGTGCTGGGTGCTGAGCCGGGCTGTTCCGGCACCACCGGGCCCGAAGCTGAGCTTGAACCTATGGAGACTTCCTTCCTGATGCCACAGACTGTGCGCCTGTCCTGCTTCCCTCTGTCCCAAGGGTTCTGGGAGAGAAGTCACACCGTGTTTGTCCACGCATCCCCATGGTGCGGGACACACCCACAAGGGCAGGAGTGGCTGTGTGTGCCAAGGATTCCCCATAAATCCTCATCAGGTCATGCAGCCCAGACCCCATTTGGAACTCGGTAGAAGCAGCAGACGAGTGACCTGCTGCTCTCCTGGCTGTTGTGACCAATCAAGTGACAAATGTATGCAGTTCTAGAGAAGGCGACGTCCCCTCCTCCCCCACACACTTGGGGCTGATGATAGAACATAGATAACATTTATGTCGGAGCCCCTATGCCACCACAGTGACGGCTTTGTGCTCAGAACTGCAGTGCTCAGACTTGAGAGACGCGTACAGGTTTGGAGCTCAGCCACACACCTGATGACGTCCTTCCACACGGGAAATGAACAACAGCAGCCACCATCTGTCAGGGCTGTGTTAGGGATCCGATGCGTATTTCCTCTTTAATCCTCCCAGCCACATACAGAGGTAAGTGCTATGACGATGTCCGTTTGTCAGATGAGGAAGCAGCGGCTTGAAGGGGTGTCAGGGGCTGAATCATGAACCCCCTATAAAGGATTGGTCCAAGTCTCAAGCCCTGGTGCTGTGAATGGGGCCCTATTTGGAAATGGGGTCTTGGCAGATGTAATCAAGTTAAAAATCACCCTGGATTTAGATCGGGCCCTAAACCCAATGACTGATGTATTTGTAAGAAAAAGGAGGAAGATTTGGGGCCAGAGGAGCTGCCTTGTGCAGACGCAGGCAGAGAGTGCAGTGACACAGCCACAAGCCAGGGAAGCTGGGAGAGGCAGGCAGCATCCTCTCTCAGAGCCTTTCAAGGGAGTGCAGCCCCGCCGACACCTCGATATTGGACATCCAGCCTCCAGAATTGTGAGAAAATGAATTTCTGTTGTTTCCAGCCACCCGGTTTGCAGTAATTTGTTTCGCAGCCACAAGACATGAATACAAGGGCTAAGGAACTCACCAAGGTCATCCAGCTGGCACCGAAGTGCTGGGATTGGGAGGTCAGTTTTCTGACCCCAAGGTCCTTTCTCCTATACTAGGTGATTGGTGCCCTCTGTCCTTCCCTCCCAGGGCCTGGCGTTCAGGCAAGTACACAGAAGACACTTAATAAATGAGTGTCAATTGGCTCCTTCACCCTGGTGCTGTAGGGCTGGGCCAGCTCCTTGGTGTCTGACTCAGAGGAAGAAACAGCTCACAGCCTCTCAGGATGTCGGCATGGCAGAGGCGAGGGAGGGCTCCCTCGGGAACCCTGCCGTCCCCGCCTTGTCAGAACTGGCCCCCAGGCTCGAGGAGGAAGAGCGGCTTTCCTCGGCCACCCACTCACTGACTCGGGGTCAAGTCTGGAACTCTTGGTCCTGACTCCCAAGTCACAGTGATGTCACCTGTCAATCCTAGACAATTCCGCCACCTAATAGCACTCGTACCCACCCTTCCTCTTCTTTGTGTGCACACGCCCGTGCAGATGCCTGTGTTCCCCTCCGCGTCCCCTGGGGTAGGCTCCCAACCCAGCCTCTGGTCCTAGTGTCTCTTTCTCCACTCTGTCCTCATTGCTGATCGGGGAGTCGGCCTTCCAACACTCAGACCGTGGCATTCCCTGCTAAAGACCTGCCCAGCATGATGGCTGTTTCACAAACTGTTCCTTGCAATGCTGGCCCAGTGCCAGGCTGACAGATGCAGGAGAAGAAAGGATTCGGAGATCCATCAGGCCTGAGGAGCGATGAGGCTAACCACTCTGTTCTTCCCTGCAGGACTTCTCAGAGCCTTTCGTGTGCTAATGCCCTCCTGGGACTCTTCAAGGGGCCTGACTCAGTAGCAGGCATGGCTTGGAAATGTATTGACTTGATCCTGAAATCTTTTCTCTGTGTCATTTTTGGTGGAGTGCTACAGGACACCAGGGCTGGGACCCGTCTGGCCTAGAGGGTTACTGAATTCTGCGTCCCAGCACCCAGACCCCTCCAGTGCCTGCTGGTTGGCCTCCCAAGCTGCCCTGTGCCTCTACACTTGCCCACGGCCACCCCTGGTCCCACCTGCTCATGCTATGTATGTGCTGCTCCTAAAACACTCTGTTTCTGTCTTCTCCCCTCATTCCCCAGGCTGTCTCACAAAAGATGCAGCTTCAGGTTCCCTCCTCCAGGGACCTGCTGTGAGCCATTCACTCCTCATAATCTCTCTCTGCTGTTATTATTTCTGTGCACACCCTCCTCTCCAGGCTAGGTTCAGGGCTGCCTCTCTGCCCGCACGCTCTCTTCCTCTCCTGCTGCAGTTTTGCTTATGCGTCTGCCTTTTCTCTCTAGATTCTAAGCACCTTCAGGGAAGGGATTGTCGTGTTCTCCCTGGTGCCTCATGCCTTGCCTAGTACCAAGAAGACCTGTAAGAAAAGTTTGTTGATTGACTAAATGAATGAACGATCATATTAATAATAAAAATAGCAAACATGCATATGGCCCTTGCTATGTGTCAAGCACTATTCTAAGCTGTTAATAAAAATAGCTAATCCTTAAGGAGAATCTGCTATGTGCCAAGTCTTGTTTTAAGAGCCTAACAGTATTAACTCATCTTCTGAGTTATGGAATCCAAGCCAGCCTCTCCCGATTCCCACCAAGGAAGAGCCCAGCTGCTCTGGGCCAACACTGCTGAGGCCGAGACAGAGGATTCCTGGGGCACAGTGTGTGATGGAGGCAGCCCCAACGGGAGAGGCCTGGCTTGCTAGGACGGCAAGTGACAAACCGAGCAGACAGTCAGAGTAGGCTACGGTGATGCCCAGACAGGTTGTCCAGAGTCCAAGGTCTGGGTGCACCTGCTCGGGTTATGGTTGAATGAAATTCCGCAAGGCCTTCCAGAAAAAAAGAAAAAAACTAAAACCTCTTCTAATCCCTGGCGGGGGAACGAACAACCCTGAATTTATT